TATAAGGGTGGCATATCAAGGAGAGGTGTACATTGGATATAAGGGTGGCATGTCTATGTGTGGTATTATATAACACTTTCTATTATATCCCTTAAGACTACCGTGGTCTGRAATCTTTATTTCTTTGTGATTTAAGGATTTAGGATCAAGGTTCTTATTGGAAATCATAGTCTGGATGTTATTGAGAAGGAAACGTCAGGTTTGGCCTGAATCTTTGTTTRAACCTTAATTGATAAAGAAAAGGTTTAAAAATGGTGTTAAATGGAACCCGATTGGTTCAAAGGTATGGAATTTGTATAGCTACGTGGTTAGCTTGAAAGTGGAAAAAGGATTTGATATTACCTTCTTGTATATTCATATATTTGTGATATATGTGAATAATTGTTTTATAAAGGTTTTGGTGATCCTTCACTCTGCAATTACATGATTAGGGTAACCCACTAGACTTTTCAGTCTAACCCTCGTTTTGTGATTTTAAAATGTGTATTGCAGGAAGTATAGAAGGTAAAGAAAAGGAAAAGATTTAATGTTTTTCTTATATGCATTCAGCTGCAGAACTGCTTTTGTTGATTAGTACAAGATAATATTTTGAATTTTTGGACCTTGTATTTGGTCATGATTGTAGATTCTTATACTAAGGGACTAGATGTATATGAATATGTATTTCTTTAGTATGAAATATGTATTACATGCAATGTGTGGGTTGAGGCGTTACAGCGAAAATCGTATATGTCCACAAAGTGGCCACTGTGCTACCACAGTGGCAATGCACCTGAACACTATGATCACTATAAGTAATCAAGTGGTAGTAATACTGAAATCGTGTCCACAGGGATCGGGACTTCAAAGTTTCGAGTACTAAGTCGAGAATACAATGATTTCAATTAGAGAAGAAGAAAATATATATTTGAGCGAGTTTGGTACTTTTAACAATTAAGTAAAAAAAACAATTAATTTAAAGAAAAAGGGTACGAGTGTAAGCTTTCCCTAAGACATTTCTAGTAACGATATGGTCAAAGATATTTTCCATAAAAACATCTATAAAAGTCCCTATCTCTAAAAAATGAATTCTCACAAAAAGTGGCCACCTGTCCCCACAAAGTCACCACTTTTGCCAACGTGTGATTTTCAAGGGAGTGATCCTCACTATGGATTCATGTCTTTTGTTCCCAACAACCCACCCAAGAATGTCTTTGAACAACCCGAACCATTTCACTCTTTTGAAACATTTCCTCAAGCTTAATGGAAGGTTTTACAATATTTATGGAAAATTTCACATCCTCTTTTGAAGCTTTGAGCACTAAGATAGGACAACTAGTCGATGAGTTGAAAAGTTAAAGTCAAGATCCCTTACCAAGTGATAATGAAAAAATAAAGCAGTACTGGAAATTACGTACTTAAAAATAAGCTACAACTACAAATATCTGAGGAAATAAGATAGAAAGCGAAGAGCTGGAGCTTTCTATATTGTTGGAGTTCTTCTCCCAAATAAAATCCCAAGGTCTCTTTATATAGGCAGAATAATACATCCAAAAATTGATATTTTTCAGTTGTCCTCGGATTTATGTCGCTCACTGTAGTGGCGAACAAAGTGACCACTTTCTGCAGTCCAACATTTAACCAAAAAACGATGCATCCACCCATCAAAACACAAATTTTATCCTCAATAGCTCCCCATGAAAATAAATAAATAAAAAGGAGAAACGCGAACACATATACGGGAGACATACACTAAAAGGGAAGACAGACACACAAACGATGTGAAAATAACACTTAAAATGCGAGTTACCACTCACTATGGCTAATGTCTCACTTTTCCTAATACATAACGCCAGACTATTAACTAATGTTAATATGTGAATAGCTTTGATGTCATTGACTCTTTTGCTTACCATAAACCTTTTTTTGAAGTATATATCATTGAAAAGAGAAAAAGACAAAAACACCCCTAACTTAACGAATTTCTTTTAACGAAAGTTATAGCAAGGGACTCGATCTATAACGAAAATGAAACCTTGAGGGCCTTAGTCATGAATTTTAGGGTTCAGGGACCTGGTTTGTAAGCAACCTAAAGCCACATGGATTAGATTTGTAATTTACGTTAATTTTTTATATACAACAAGTACTCATACACACTTCTTACATTTGATAAGATTTGAACTCTTGGGAGGTTGATCTTTATCGGTAATCCTGATACAACTGCTACGCCATACATGACTCTTAGGGGCTTTTCGGAAGGATACGACCCATTCGCTCAACTATAAATAGTTGTTTGGTAGTGGCTTATTCGCTCAGCCGATGACTTAATCGGTCAACTAGAAATCATTGGTCCTTTACACTCAGCCATATAATTTCCCCAACTACCCAGGGTTTCTGAGCCCTATTACATGCCTAGTTCATAATTCCATTCACGCTTCCAAGTTCCAAGCATATTGATTTTTGATGATGTTCATGTGTAAAAAACCAACAAGATTTTCTGGGTTTATTTGCTTAATGTCAATGCAACATCCCTTTATAAAAGTGAATGCACATAAGATTGTTTGATAAAATTTCAGTTATATGTGGTTTTAATGAAAAAAAAATAAAGGGTAAAATTGTCATTTATCTCGATCATACACTTTATTCAGCACAACAAAAGGTCAATAATTTACTTTAATCCATATAGATAACTTAATCCATATTTTGTTTGAACTTAATTCATATCAATCAGACAGTCTATTAAGCCCTAACTAAGCAGTAGCACTCGGTTGCATTTTTCTTTCTATCAATCAAGAAAATACCTCTAACTAGTTCAAGCTCTTTGGTTTGCTTGATAGTGGACTAACCTCTTTACTAACTTCTCAAAATCTGATTGTTTTAGGGGCCGTTTACCCAAATACTTACCGGGTAAGCGCTTATTGGTAGGAGTCAACACTATAATCTATTTTACCAGATAAGATTGTAGTATATTAAAACGGTATCGTATACAACAATTTACCTGGTAAACGCTTACCCAGATAAGAGTCCTCACCATCACTTACCGGGTAAGACTCTCTATCCCTATCATCGTTCTTAACGGGTAAGATTTTTAGCCCTTGCCATGTGCATCAGGTGAGAAAAGTTACCCGATCCACACTTACCGGGTAAGTATTTAGTAAACGACCTCTAAGTCCTAAAAATTAGAATCAAAATCAGATTTGTTAATCATTATGAGGCATATAAGTGAATAAAACGTTTTAGGAGGACCAAATTTGTAAATATGACAACAATTATGGTTTCTCTCAGCCGTGCTTTTTGTCTCCCTTTTGATAACTGTGCCACGGAATTGGAATCCATAGCTGCAGCCTGCAAATCTCTCTTAAGATCAGCCAACAGGATTCATAGATTGTTTCTGAACCTGGTGAATTCATGATTGACGCTTGTGTTTTGGCTAAGATTGGAGCTTTGATTAACAAAGGCAAACAGTTTTTACCCTAACTTTCTGTGTTCTAGGGTTCAAACGCTTGGTGCTGGAGAACGTTAGGTACTGATCTAACCGATCATCGTAAAAAGGTGATTATCTGGTTCTGATTCTTCAGAAAGATATAAAATTTCTGTGAACTGGCTGAAATTTTAATCTAGTTCCAGCAATAAAACGGGTGGATTAAATTTGGAAATATTTGGTTTTTCAGGGGATATAATATCGGGTCTGTTGTAGATAATAATCTGTGGAGGAGGAATGCCTCGAGATAGGGAATTATCTCGGTCGCCGTCCTATAAAAGGCGTAGGTATTCAAGGTCACCGTCGCCGGTTGGACACAGGTATAAAAGCCGCAGAGATAGAAGTCGAAGAGATCGAAGCAGCCAATCTCCTTATTCTTATAGCAGGTGATTGATACCCGATTACGTCTAGCCTCATTTTTGTACACTTGATTCTTTTAGCTAGCAACACGAAGTCGATTTTACTGTGATATTGTATCATTTTTTCCTGCATAACACACTTTGCTTGGTGCTTATGAGTAATTTTGATTTTGAGCAATTTTACCAAATGGGGTATGATCTTATACTTTTGGTGTATTACATTGCTTTGAACTACGGTGATGAATATGTATTATGTTTATGATGTTTGCATGATGTTAAAATGACAAAATTGAAGTTGTGTAATTGGCTTAAAATTAGGATAAATTTCTGAAGTGATTTCTATACTGCTTCTCAATGACGCATAGCTTATAGACTTGGCATCTCCTTGACCATGATTGTGAAGCCTTACATAGTTTGCAAGCATATCAACATACAAACCATTTTTGTTTATGGACAATGGGGGTAAAAGAAACTTTTTTTTTGAATGGAGCTATAATTTTTTCTATGTTCATTGCATGTCTAAGTACCTTTCTTTCTCCGATTGTGTGTGATTAGTCATCCATTTCCTTTGACAATGACCTGTTAGTGGGATAAAATAATTACCTGAAGCAGTAGGTTCTTTCGTCAGATTGGATATGTTCGAAGGTCTTATTACAATAATTGTAATTGTGATTCATTAAGGTTTGCGTTGTTGAGCTGAACTCTATGTCAAACACTTACATTGATAGTGAAATGGGACGTAGCAGAAACTGGTTTGGTTCCAAGTGCTTTTCGGTTTTGTAATACTTGACTCAAGTTGTGTCTCTGAGACATTCACTCCAGGAACTTCTTGAAAGGATAGAAGCAACCTTAAGAATCCATTTTCCTGATGGGATTAAAACATACGGGGCTTTTCTCTCTTGGTTTCTTGATAAGAGTTGACTAATCCAGGAATGGAGCTATTAATTTGCAGTACTTCAGTTTTTTGAAAGCTTATTGCTTTTTTCCAGAACAAGACATCAATGCTTTCCTAGGCATCTTTTTGAATTGAATTCTTAACAGAAATCATCTGATGTAATATATGTGGAATTGATCATCATTTGGCTTATTTGTTGTTAGATATTCTAGAAGATGATTCGATAGTCAAGTTGTGTACTCCTGGGTATTTCTCATATGATATGTTGCTGCCCTGAGAGTTTCCACTTTCATGAGTGCCCTGATATTTGGTTTGATGGTCCTCAAGCTTTGTCCAAGTGTTGCCTTGAGAGCGTAGTCTTGGGATGTGTCTTGGAAGAGATCCGACTTTGACAAAACCTTGAAAATGCTATGTAGAAGAATATTGGGAAGGGCATGCTAAATGTAATAATAAGTGGAATATACCTTCTTTTTTAACTCAAAACTTAAGAAAGCAGTTGCTTCCCTTCATATGGGAAGTGAGCCGGTGATGGGTGCTGATTCGCGATATATTCTTTCTCGATTGTGACATTTAGCAGTTTCTTGTGATAAAAGATGGAGCTCACAGTTTATACTTAGCAATATAAGAGGTAACTGTATATTGCTTTTGTATTTATTGTGCTAGATGGCGGGATGTTATGGTGCTTTATTATCTCATCTGTAGCTTTAAACATCAGGTTGCTCATATATCTTTGTCTTTACAGGCGGAGAAGCCGCTCAATATCTCCACGTCGCCACCGCCGTAGAAGCCGTTCACCAACTCCTAGACGACGCAGAAGTCGCTCTTCAACTCCAAGGCGTCATAAGCGACAAAAAAGCAGGAGCTCCTCATTGTCTCCTATTGCCAAATCTCCTGGTATTGGGTCCATAGAGTGCAAAATTGTTGGTGAAAATTTGAAAAAAGAAGAGGAGGATGAAAGGAAAAGGTATTTCAATTTCCAGAAATCCTTGTTTCATAATTGCTTTCCTCAGTTTCTTCCTAGTTTTATTATGTAAATATTTTTCTTGATTTCTGGACTGTTATTCATATTTTTAACAAATATCTTTGAGCCTTCTATTTGCACAAAAACTTGGAAAATTATTAATATGATGTTTGGATTTGAATTGTTGATAACACTCATGGTGCTATATTAATTCATTTCCACTATTATAATTAGGAGAGTATGGATGCGCATTATGCCAGTTAGAAAAACAATGATTAATTATCTCAATGTTGTGGTTCAGATGGAACAAATTTGACTACCTGCACTTAGATCGTAGAAATTCATGTTTGGAATGCTCTTTGTCCTGCTTACGGACGAATGTGAACAGAATAAAATATAAGAAAATTGTGAGTGGACATATCTGATATCTGTCAACTTCTTGAACATGGAGAATATGATAGCTTCTTTTTAGTTTCAGTCTTGATGTCTTCATTCTGTAGGTTATGTTAATAATTTGACTTGATCTTTCATGATGGCTGCTTAGCTTATTGTATAATAATGATGCATGATTCTTGAGAATATGAGAGAAGAGTATATCCCTTGAAACATATATTTCCAGATTGATATGCCTTACATAAATTTGCCTATCTCTGTAGGGGCTTGCAGATGCTTTACTAAGTTTATTATATAATGATGACAATGATCATTGAGAATACAAGAGTTCAGTTTATTCATCACAGACCATAGCATATATATTCGAGATCGATATGTGCGACATAATACAAAAGTCTGACTACCTCTAGAAGGGCTTCCATGTGCTTGTATCCACGGTAAAGACATTTTATGACATGTGTTTCAATCCTGACTGGATGAATTTAAGTTGTATATCCAAATATGGTTTGTGATATATAGTACCTGAGGTTATTAGGCATTTGAAACTGTGGCTTCCTGCTGTGCAAGGGATCGTAGATTTTATATTCAAATCCTTAATTTATTTTGTGGTTGTTTTGGGGGGAGAGGAGCATCTTATTGGACAAACTTACCAATAAACACTCTGTATTTCAGAACCAACCCTTTAGAAAATCAGATGAATATCCAAATTTTCACCAATGTTACTTTATTCATGGGAATCCCCTCCGCAGCATAATCCAGATTACACGACCCAGTTCCTGGTGCATTCGTACACCAACATGGCAATGGAAGGGACCTTAAAAATCATTGCAAAACTCAAATCCCAACAAAGTCGCAACAATACAGAGTTGGAGGTTCAGAGGTTGGAGATTGGATCCTCATAAGAGTCTATATGTTTGAAGGTGCTTGTGAATGACTCATGATTTTCTGCATATAAGAAAGACGATGTTCTTTTTCTAATTGGTTAGGCCAAGGTTATTGTTCTGTCAATATGAGTTTAAAGCCTTTTCAGAATAAACGGACTATGGAGTGCAGATATGGATAATCCATACAAACCAGTGGCATGAGTTGTGTTTAACTTTTAACACTTAGGTCGTGTTTTAAATTTCACATGGGCTTTGCTTTTGTTTATCAATTTTGTAGATAGGTAACAATTTTCTCTATGACTCTATCTTATGGAAATTGATATCTAACTTATTAAGGCTTTTATGAGTTATACAACTGGTAGATGGAATATTCTCTTCTGTTTAAAAAATATATTTTAGACATATTTATGTGTGATAAGATCGTGCTTTTATTATTTGATTTATTTGAGGTACTTATAAGCTGTCGGAATTCATATATTTATAATATTAAAATTTTTGGTTAAATTTGGGAATCAGCCTTAAAAATGTAATATTATTGTACTCAATTTCCATTGGAATTATCTTTATGGTTAAACATAAAACACTAGAATGAGTACAATAATATCATTAAATTTGTGATTGTCCAAAATAGCATACCAATTGGGACTGCCAAATAACCCCCAAAGGGTGGGAATCAGCCTGGGTACTTCCACCGTAGAGTGGGAGTCCCTGGTTCGAGCCCTTTATGTTATCACTCATTCACTCCTTGTGTAGGCCACACCAGTTCCCGTCAAGGTAGGGCTTTGCCTGGTTTGAGTGTATCTGATGGACAGACTCGCACCCTGTGGACTTAGTCGGCTAAATGGTTGGATAACACTGTTACCAAAAAAATGAGACTGCAATTTCACGTGTGGTGTATTCTTGTTCTTACCATGTATCACAAACCATACAAGTACTGCCATGACCATCCAGTGCATACTGAAAATTGGGTAAGATAGTTTTCACCAATCTTCTATCCAAAAGCTGTAAACTTGAATACTCTTCAGAAATCATCCAACCCAATTCTCCTTGGTGAAGCTAAGAATCAATGAGGTTTTGTATTCTTGTCAATTCCAGCTTTTATTGCATATTTAAGCTGGTGGAATAGCTTATACGCTTGTGCTTTTTAAATTTTAATAGTTCGGGTTACCATGTGGGCATCTTTTTTGTTGTATTGACGTTCTTCTTGTGTTGACAATTCTGTTTTATCATCTATTCTTTTCCCTGGTTCTAAATATTATTTTGCAACCTTCTTGGTTATGTCCTTGATTTCCAGTTTCTTTTCCTGGAACCATTTTAATGGTGCAGCTTCTTTTGTTGTCGCGATTTTTTTCCTCTTAAGCTCTTGAATTAGAACTTATAATCTTTCCCTTGCTCCCCTCCTCTCCTCTAAAACTTCTGCATCCTTTTCAGTTGAACCATTCTACAGATGTGCTGTTGTGAGACTATATCGTGTATTTATTCAGTTAATCTCTTTTAAGGTGTTCTCAATTTAAACCTTCACATTTGGATTATGTTATTTCTTTTGGCACGGGCACACTTTTTTTCTTCATGGTTTGTCTTTACTGTCGTATGTGCAATGTTTGATAGTCCATTGTTGCACCCGGCATAACATAGGCACATAGCACCATTCTCCTTGCTATATATCTTGTTATATTTTCTACTCTTTGCTAGGCTTTCTCAGAACAGTGAGAGAAACCACGCTTCCATTGATTGAAGTGTAATCCTACTCTTACTGATGCTATTTTTCTTATTCTACACTTGATTTACATCATCAGTTGTTCAGATATCTTTCTTATCCTCTATGATGTCAGAACTCAGAAGAACCTGTTTATGGTTCAGGAGTATATAGTGCACTGCTTCATTGACCCACTGTTGACTTTCCCGCATCGTGAAAATATTATAACTTGGTCAAGGTTCGCATTGGTGATGGTGTAGTTGATTGATTAATAGTCTCGGTCATGAAAGATTGTCCCATAACAAATTAGCATGCGGAAATTTCATTACATTTCTTCATTGTTATGCGTCGAAAGGTTATGAAGTGGGGTTTCAAAGCCTAAACTAGGACAATTAAGATAAGGAAATTGTCAACATTAGAATAACACCAACACAACATTATTCTCTCTGTATTATTGGAAAGTATAAAATTTCACTTTGCAGATATGTATGTAAATGTAAATGTAAATGTAAATGTAAACATAAAGTTTTTTAGCAATCAGCTTTAAAACTGCGAAAGGTTACTTGACATTTTTCTCCACAGGCTATTGTGAAGGAAGATACTGCTATAGTTCAACTTGTTATATTTGATGATCAATTGGGTGCCTCGTTTATCTACTGTTCACCAGTTTTGAAACTGATTTGTTTGGATCAGGAACTCGTTAGAGGTATGCTTTATAAGCATATATAGTGCTCTTATCTACATGAAGGTCAGTTTGTCACCTGTTAGAAGTATAAAAAAAGAGACACAAAATGTGGATGAATTTTGTTATTGAAAAAAATAAATATCGGTTTTTAACTGTTCTGGCTTCCAAAGACAAAGGATCGGCTGCGACATCTTGGTTTGTGGTTTGTGATCATTTCCTCTTTAACTTTCTTTTTAATTTATCAGGCGTCAGCACGAAGCCGAACTGAAGTTAATGGAGGAAGAAACTGCAAAAAGAGTGGAGGAGGCGATAAGGAAGAAAGTCGAAGAAAGATTGGGGTCTGAGGAGATCAGGCTGGAAATCCAGAGGCAACTGGAGGAGGGGAGGAAGAAAGTTCTTAGTGATGTCGTAGCTCAACTCGAGAAAGAAAAGGAAGCTGCAGTTATCGAGGCTAGACGAAAAGAGGTAAGCTAGTCCTACTTCCTTTTTAACATAAATTAATACTACCTCGGTCCCAAAATAAATGGCCATATTTCTATTTTAGTTAATCCTATAAAAGGTGCCCATTTTTAAATGTAATTCCACCCTTAATTATGGGATGGAGAAATTCATTCCTCACTCAATTATTAAGGGTAAAGTTGTCACTTAGTTAATTAAAAAGTGTAATAATTAAACATTTTTACAAATCTGTGTCTTTTGCATTATTGATATTTATTTTGGGACGGAGAGAGTAACTTGTTTTGCCGTCAACACACATTACATGTTGGGACTTGCATATAACCAAAATCAATGATTGTTCTCCTTCTAAACACCGGAATGGTTTGTTATTGGGAGTTACTACTTGCTACAACTATGTCATTTGGGTTTTAAAGTAGGAGAAATTGTTGGGTCACATGCTTGACGACCCCGTTACTTTGTCGGCTTTCACTTCACATGTTCTACCATTTTCCTTTTCTTGACTACAAACCAAACCAAACCAAACCAAACCAAATGAGGCTGGTATGTGCCACTAGGATGTGGGGTATAGGGGTATGATGATATGTGGACCCGACCTCTACCCCAAATAGTAGAGCAACCGTTTCCTTTTTCTTCACCATCTCCTTCCGTCTACTCTATAAAAATCGCAACGCTTCTTTTCATAGGATGCCCTATGGAACTAGCAACATTTCCGTCCTTGAATGTTAGTACATCAAGATTACTTATTTTCAAATCATCTTTTTCACAAATAAACGGATGGTATTGATGCAGGTTCACAAAGATTCGTCTATTTTGTCTTTCTTAAAGTGTGTTGTACCTAAATCTTCATCTATAACAAGTTCGATTTCATATGTTTTTATTCCCCTTTAGGTATGTATGATGTTTTTAAATATACATATAGGAACAAGCTCGAAGAGAGAAAGAAGAGCTGGAAAGGCTGGTTGAACAAAACCGAAAGAGAATTGAAGAAGCTCAGAGGAGGGAAGCCATGGAGCAGCAACGAAGGGAGGAAGAGCGTTACAGAGAACTAGAAGAGCTCCAACGACAAAAAGAAGAAGCTTTACGTAGAAAAAAGCAACAAGAGGAAGAAGAGCGCGCTAAACAGCAGAAATTGCTAGGCAAGAACAAATCCCGACCCAAGTTATCTTTCGCTTTAGGTTCAAAATGATGTTCATGTTCACGACCCCACGACACTGTTTCCATTTTTTACCATTTTTCTGCCAGCTATATCTCTTTCGTGCCTTTTGTATTTCCGACAAAGAAAAACACAAGATTTTTATGAACGCGAGTTTTCTGGCTCGCTTTATGATCTCCGTATTTCATGGCAATTTTGACATACCCCGTCTTGCTTCGAGTTTTCTGGCCCGCTTTATGTGGTGTTGTATATTATATCTTGATCTTGAAACCTTTAGTTGTTTAACAATCGGAACTTAGGATGTTCATAAATTTTTGCTCTTTATTGTTATGTTTTTAACCTCATGTGTTTAGTTGGAAATAATTATGTTTTAAATGATTTTACATAACTTTGACTTTGATTTCATACAAGTTTTATTTTATTTTAAATGTAAAATATTTTTTAGGTCCATTAATCCGTGGCAAACACAACCTGATTCTATGGCAGGTATCGACAATTTATCAAGTCGGCGGGCTTAGGTTTGCAGTATTAGGCCCGTTGATTTAGTTTATTTTGGTTTTATCCAATAGTGATTGCCAAATCGGTACGGCCCGGTCCGGGACCGCAGGAGGATCGGGACCGGTTATGGGACCGAAAACCGGGACCGGTTGAGGTTTTTGACAGTTTCGTGGGACCGGGACCAGCTATGGCAAAGGGTTGTGTAAAACGGTTATTTTTATAAATTTCCCTTATAAAAAAACGTAGTTTTATAGTATTTGAGTGACCTAATTGTAAATTTTATAATGTATTAAAAATATATATCATTAAAATATTTAAAAAAAAAATCTTATTTTTGAATGCCGGGTCCGGGACCGACGGCCTATAACCGTTTATGAAGAACCTTGACCGGTCATACCATTTTTGACTGGAACTGGTTATGCCAGGACCGGTTATAAGAAAGCTTGGGACCAATCAGGCCCGGGCCGAACATTTTTGGCCATCACTATTATCCAACCTAAACCATATATCATTATGAGTAAATTACAGTTTTGGTCCTCATGCTTAAATATTATCTAATTAGTTACTGTTTCAAAGTTTTTTCATAGTATTTTTTCCCTCTTTTGCATACTAATTCTTGGAACTACTACAATATCACAAGATTTTATCATCACATGTGAATTTATTAACAATATGTCAATTATCAATATCATATCACGTGTAATTATATATATATAAACATGGATATCTATGAACCATATCATAAGTTATAATATACATACCTCAATCTATTGTTACATGTGATTATATATATATATATATATATATATATGTTCATCTATTATAACATGTGATAATATATAAACCTCGATATATTATCACATGTGAATATACATCACATATTTGGGCAATAAAAAAGAAAGCAGGGATAATCTTTATTGAATCAAGTTATTGCATACATACAAGAAACATAAAACTATTGAATTCAAATTTGTATCGAATAAAATCCTAACTTATTGATTATTTCAAACAAACATTGAGATCGAGTTTCCAAGCCATCCTCTAATTGAACTAGAAACATAGATCTCTATTGATATCAGATTTGCTTCAAGTAAAATCCAAACCTATCGGCTACTTCAACAAACCTTGAAATCGACGTTGTTGAAATCATTATTGTTGGTGAAACATGGATCATCAGTAAAAGAGATCAATGTTGACGAGGAGTTCTTGGTGTTGCGATGGTGAAAGAGGGAAAACGAGGAGAGAGAGCCCGAAGAGAGAAGTTAGGTTTGTGCATATTGATTTTTTTTTTAAATTTTAACGTCCTTAATTTTTTTTTTTTTGATTAACCTAGATATCCAACTCGCTTTGTGAGCCGACTAATCTTAGGGCAATCACCTGCTTTGCAGGTAGCCCGGAGTCACCGCATTTGAACCTCCGTGGCCAAAAGAGGATTTTTGTTACTCCTTAGATTTGAACCTGGGACCTCCTGGCACTTTTGACATTTGGAGCCAAACTCAAACCAATCAGGCCCCACCCTTGTGCTTAATGTCCCTAAATTTTCTCTTCCATTTAATTAGGAAAGATCTATTTTCTTATAATTTTACACTTAAATGCCCTTTAATGACATTTACTTCCTTATAATTACAAAATTACTATAATTCAGTTCAATCATAGATTAAATGAGTTGTCAGGGACTCAAGATAAGATTGTTTCTCACCTTCTTGTAAGTTGATCGCTTTCTCACATGATCCTTCCAATACACACACACACACACACACACACACTTATAGACACATGCATAAATTGGGAAGAAAATTGTTCCACACCACTATCATCATCAAAGCTCCATACAACTGCCATCGCCCCTTTTCGTTCGCCCTCCCCCGATCACATCCATAATGATGCACTTGTAAATATGACATTTTTGTTACTCGACCAACCACCGGGAGAAGAAAATACAACAAGTACACTAATCCATAAGATTGATGAAGTAGCAATTAATGCAAAAACAACCATTTGGAAAACAAGAGTCATTATCTAGCCTCATCTTCCCTCTCTCCCCCGACAAGAATTTGTGATACATAGTCTCTCTCTCTCTCTACCACTGTTGGGAAACTTATCTTCCCCTTTCTTTGCCATGGACCACCATCGTTCCTCCTCTCCTCTCCGTTAAGTAAATTATAAGAAAAGTAGAAGGACCAAGCACACATGATAACAAAAGTAGAAGCAAATACACCTACTTCTTCCATGAGGGGAAAGGATGGAACATTGAGTATTTGAATGTCATCTATTGATCCTGGGTCATATGGGCAAAAATGTTCGACATTTTTTTCTTCTTATATCTCACATGCATAATTTACATGTTTCATGGTTTGGGGTTTGTTAGGAATTGGGGATTAAAGATGATATGTGGATCGGATAATCACTTGGATAGTGCAAAGTTCACTTCTCGAATACAATAATTCGAATATTGCCTTGGGTATCATAGATTTAGTATTGGGATAATCCAAATGAATATAATCACTTTAAAGGCTGTGAAGTCGAGTTTCTGATATACACCCAGATTCTCGTTCACATATTTATATGAGAGATCGACAATTACGAACGGTTAAATAGTTAAAAACATAACTACTAAATAGTTATAACCGTTAATGAATAAGATTTTAGAGCAGTCACAACTGACTCAGAGTCATAAGCAACAAGTCCAGAAGAGAAAACACGATGAAAAGCTCTAATCATATATCTTAGAAATAAATTCAAGTTCAGAGACTTTGATTATAGGGTATTGGAGGCTCTGGTCCTAACACTTTGGTGTTGTTTGGTTGGTAGATTTCAAAGGAATTGGAATGATCAACTTCTTTGACCAAATTTCAATTGTTTTGTTTGGTTCACATATTGAAATAGATAGAATCATTTGAATTCCACAAATTAATGAATTCATCATTTCTTGGCATAAGTGAAGGAACTGAATTCTAAACTATGATACTACTCTCAGTATCACGCTCCAACCCCTAACCCCCCACAACCACAATATTACTTGTCGCTGCCACAACCGCCACCCACCCTCACCCTACCCAACCCACCATTGACCACCATGCCACTACTTTCGTCGTCAAGCAGTCACCCTACCATGTCACGCACCCCCAGCCGAGCATCATGCCACCACTATTGTCGTCATCACATCTACCACCCCAACCCCTCGCCACCACCTACCCACCACTACTTCCGACCACCATTATCACTATGCTACTAATGTCGTTGTCACATCTGCCACCCCACCCTTCCCCCAAACAATGATGAAGATTCCAATTCTTTTGAGAGATGCCATTCCAATTCCTACCAACCAAATGCGTGGTCAAACTCTATTCTAATTTCTTCAAATTCAAATTCGTTTGATAGATTCCAATTCCACCAAATTCCATTTTTTGCAAACCAAACGCCTTTTAGAATCTGAGAACTTTAAGGAAGCTCTTCAGAAGAACTAGAGACTTTATTTAACTAGAAGCTCTGATCATATGGAGCAAAAGTTCTGACCTTAAGGATCAGAGGCTCTGACCGAATACTTAGTCGAATTTTAACTAAGTCAAGGAACAACTTAAGGCTCACCTCCAAGGGAGCGTGCTGCCCCTTGACCCCCACCTTATGGCGATCTAAGATGATAGGGGTAACATTTGTAAGTGTGCACTTAGCACCTCCAAACTCACTTATGTTTGACATATCACCAAGTCAATCTCACGTAATTCACAATTGCACTAAAATGATTGATGATACTGAAATCACCAATATGTTTGATTGCGTTTAGTCGTTCAAGTTTTTGTACATCCCTAAGAAGTGGGTTTGATTTGGGTTTGGGGAAGAATACTAGGTGGAGTTGGTGGGTTTGGGTTATGTTTATCTCAAAAAGGGAACGATGTGTGCGTATGGGTGGGTTTTGATTGCCAGGGGGGGGGTCGTTGGATGTGGTGGATTTTAATTTTTCGATTTTGCATCATAAACTGGTGTAGGGCTGTGTTTGAATTTTGCCGAAGAAGGGGGTTAGGGTTGGATTTGAGTTCTGCCATAATAAGAGGTTGATGTCGATAGGGGACTACAACGCTCTAGTGGATGGTCAAGGTCAAAGTGGTCACTGGAGAAGGGAGTTAGGGCCGGCGAAAAGTTAGGGCCGGCGAAAAGAAAAAGGGTCGACGATTTCGGTTTTTTTATGGCAAATAAAAAGAAAAAAAAATAATCAAAAGTTACAGAAATGGTCAAAATGACCAAAAAACCCTTAAGTTAACGGACCTTTAGTTACTTAGAGGAATCAAAAGTGTAAGAATATGGCAACCATAATGACCAAAAGTGTTATTATTTCAAAATAAGAACGAAAAGCGTTAATAATTGACAACCCATTGTATAATCTACTCGATTATTAGTATCTTATAATGGTTAATAAAAGAAATATAAAAATTCATTTACTGTAAAATAAAACGTAGTATTGTTATGTAGAATAAGATAATTATTCAAAATTCACATATGAATACAATTACTATTATTTTGATTCCATTTTAAGGGGTGTTTGGGATTTGCTTATTTGAAACAACTTATGCTTTTCTATAAAAACACTTATCAACTTATCATAAGTAAGAAGCGTTTAACTTCTTCAAAAACTCCTTATTACCGGTTTGACACCGATATAAGTTGTTTATCCAAACACTCAAAAGTGCTTATTACCGATGTCACA